AAGACTGAGACCACAGGAAAAAATACAGGAAGTGCAGATTTTACGTAAGTAATGCTCTAACGTTATTTGACAGACAGTAGAAGGAAATACACAAATCAGACTATACTGACATTTAAAGATGTGACAGAACAGTTGGTAGCAGTATTTCCTGGACAATCCTCGTATTTTAGAAAATTTACGTATTTTGTTGCAGGTGTCCCAGACCTCGTTTAAAATTTCAAGCTCTCTGCGCCTATACCACACGCACTAGCAAGTGGGTCGTTTCGTCTTTAATTTTTCAAAGTTTTAACGGTTTTACAGTGTTTAACGACTGAAGTAAGAAAATAAAACAATGTAATTTGAGTACAGTAGTCTCAGTGATTGTTTAAAACCACCACATAAACCGCAACAATTGCCATTATTGTTACTTGTAAAATAACAAACAGGAAGTCATAAAATCAAATGGGGTGGCAAATATTCAGTGCTACTGTTTATAACTGTTTATTCTATTGAGTGTAATTTTTCTTTTCTATTGTAATAGGCTGAATAGCTATTTTTCATATTTATTCGACATTTCGTGATTCCTAGAGCACGAAAAAGTTGGTCTCGTGTCTCCTTATGTGTCTGTTTGGAATCTCGTGTAGAAGTGTACATGCTAAAACGCCAACCAAAATTTTTTACTACGCGCCATTTAAGTTTGATAAAATAACATACTCTTGTACTTGTGGTTTATGACTGCGCCTTGAGTTTTTTTCCCTATCCATCCAAATTCTCGCAAAAAAATCCGAATTGCATCACTATATTTATAATATAAGAGCAATCACGTGTAATAAACTCTGTGGTCGTGTCAAAAAATATTCAACAAATATACTTATATACTTGTAGTGTACGAATCCACTTCCAGTTTTTTCGCTCTAAACGTTCAAATTTTCGCAAAAATATTTTTAATTCATAATTTTAGTCCTGTTTTGAGAAGACAATCTCATTCAAATCAAACTAATTTCTACGTGACATTCTTTAGATGTATAAACATAAATAAACACTTCAGCTTCAGATTGCTATTACCTATTGCTAAAGGACCAGGAGTGTTATTTATGCCTCTGGTTTTTACTTTACAGCGGTTATCACAAAACGAAAATCGTAAAATCAAATTTTATCATTTTTTTTAAAGAGCTGAATTTGATAAGCTGTACTTTATGAGCGAGGGAACTTCTGTCGAAGTAATCTTCGACCAACTTTTCAAGTATGGTGTTCAAAGAACTTGTATATATTACGAAAAAAAAAACAAAAATAAAACCCCACCCTCTCGCCCTGGCCTCAGTAATGATGCATTTTTCACTAAAACATGTTTTAAGTATTATTATATTGTTAAAAATAGACCATTTTGACTATGTAACCCTCTCTACCCTACTATGTCAACAAATCATGTTTCACATGGTAATTTCTTGAGAAAGAAAGATTTTGCAATTAAGCTCCGCCCACTTGGCTCACAACGAATAAAAAAAATCATCATACTTGAGCTGGGGTTGGTGGGCGGGGCTTATATTTTCTTTTGTTTCTTTATACACGTAGTGATCTTTTCACAAAAATAACTTAAAACATGTTTAAAATGGTAAATTTTTGTAGGGAAATATTGATTTTGCAGTTATCTCGGTCTGTCAAATGAAAAATTCCTCACGATTGAGATCGTCACCGAAGAGTGAGGCTTAATCTTCGGCTTTATTTTTTACTTAATATACATAGTATTTTTTGAAGAACACGATATTCAAAAACATGTTTTAGAGAAATAAGTCTTTTAAGCTCCACCCCCTTGGTTTACGATGAATTAAAAAAAAAATATCACAACTGCGCTAGGGTAGGGGGAGGGGCTTATGTTTTACTTTTTTTTTCTTAATATACGTAGTCTTCCTATAACAAGAAACTAAACTTTATCCCCCACACTTCTCTACAAATTTACCCTTTTAACAATGTTTTCAGTTTCTTGTAAAAAGACAACTACGTACATACATTAAGAAAAACAATGTAAAATTGAAACCCCGCCCACCCGCCCTCATCTCAATTGTGGTAAATTTTTTATTCGTTGTGAGCCGAAGGGCGGGGCTTAACTGCAAAATGCTTATTTCTCTACAAAAAACTACGAGCTGTTTTTGAGTAACATGTTGTTGAAAGGAAACTATATATGTTAAGAAAAAAAGGCAAAAAATATGCCCCACCCACCCGCCCCAATCTTAATTCTGATGAATTTTTCATTCGTTGTCAGACCGAGCGGCAGAGCTTAATTGTAAAATCGATGTTTCCCGACGAAAATTTAAACACGTTTTAAATATCTTGTCGTGGAAAGAAGATTATGTATATTCAGAAACGAAGGTAAAATTTAAAAATAAAGAGAAAAAAATTCATGAATCAGTCAATTTATTTTATTGAATAAATCAAGAATTGCAAAAATGAATAGTTTGAAGTCTTGCAGCCTTTTTAAAGTTATTGTAAACATGGTAAATTGTTAATCAAAATATATATGTTTATTCCCTCCACAAAACTGATGACGTCATGTCAAAATTTTGGCGAATAAACTCTACCCAAAATGTGCAAAATATGATGAGTTTTTACTTACTTATGATTTATCAATGCTTTCATATTTTTTAGATTTGCTTAAACAGGTGGTTAAAAAAAATTAATGAATGAAAGAATTAATTTTATTGAGATTTCCCTGCATTCCGCGCCATACCAAATATAAACAAGTTAATAGAATTTGAATTGCGTACATACATGATAACACTGACAATTCGCAAATTTAATCACCCTGTATAAATAAGTTTTCAGTTTCTTATACGCTTGTCCAGGCAAGGTAACTAAAAATTTTTAACAAAATTCCAGGTCTCCTTTTTAAATATGGCATTGTTAAGAATCTTTTTATATCATAATTTGTTCATAAAAAAAATTGTTTATGCAAAAACTTTGTGTCTGGCATTTTTTTCTCTTCTCTTTAGTACGAAATCTAAATCTGTAAACATGTGTTTTATTTAAAAAATGTAACTATGGTGTTTAACTTTTGAAAAAAATATCCCGTATATTTAAAAATCATTTACAATGTATACAAGAATTCTATCAGATAGCGTCAACAACCTTTTTCAGTAACACTGAGCAGCAAAAAATTTGCCACAAAAATTCTTATTATAAAAATGTATTCGTTTAAGGATAGTATTAAATTTGGTAAAAGTTTTTGTTAAAGTTAGCGAGTTTTTTTTTACCTAAAAAAGAAAAATTTTCGTTTGTGCTTCATTTTCTGTATTTATTCGTAAGTAATTTTCATCATATTATTTGTTATATTTATTCAGTTAAGGTGATCGTTCACCCGATTTACACGCACTCCGCGCCGGACCAAACATAATCACCGTCGAAATAACCTTCGACCAATTTTTTATTTTAACATTGGAGTTATCTTTAAAATATAAAGCAAATTTTACAATTCACGTAGATTTGTTTAAACTTTTAATTATTACTCATTGTAATAGAGTTATTTTGGCAAATTTTTCTGAAATTTGGAAACGCAGTCTCGAAACGTACGATGAATTAAAAAATTTAAACAATTACATATTTTTAGCTTAATGAAGATATTCCCTCATTAAGCGTTAGTTCATTAGATGCGAACATTTGAGCTCGCTTCATCCTATTATGTGCATTAAAGAAATTATGGTGAAAATTAATCTCGTAGAGTTTAAATTAACGACCCACTTTCATTTACAGCAAAATTTAAAATTTACTAAGCGAAAATCGAAAATTTCCTGCATTTTGTACGCGAACGAAACATTTACTAAAGACAGAACTTGAAGTGTCTAAAGCAGTAACCAGAGCAACTTTTGGTGACAATAATGTTATTTTTAATTAAATCGATGAAATTCTTATGCGTAAGCGCAAGAAATCGATTTCTTCAAAACACAAGTACATTTTTGTACTGCCGGTAAAATATAGTTTTCAATACTTCTATTATTCTTTGAATCGTAAGCATGTAATGCGACGTCTTTAATATTTTTAAATGGCGCAAAAAATAAGGAACGAAGTAGAATAAATAAAATACAGCAAAAACGAAGCATACTGAATAAGTTATATAATATGCACATAAGGACGTCGTATTTTTGAGTATCGACTAAAGTTTTCAAAACTGTTGCAAATTTTATCACCGTTAGCATTATGGACTAAATTATGTATCTAAACGCGGAGAGATGAAACGTGCGTTCGACAACGCGTAAATTTATTTTTTCCGTTGCTATCAAGAGGCGCGTCAGGGCCACCTCTGTATCAGGGTACAAGCCCACGTAATTCAGATTAAATTATACCCAGAAAAATGTTAAATTTAATTTCAAGTATACCGATACAGTATTTTGCGGTCTCGGATTTTGCAAACCTCGGCACCGGCTCAGACACAAAAATCGCGCTTTCGCATTTACCAAGGAGTTTGAAAAGCGCCGATCCCTGCTTTATCCTCAATAACCGCCGATTCCGAGGTCACTCACTCCGTTCCCGTCTCTGATTAAAACAATTTCAAACATTCCAACAAGTTGCGTGTAAAATGCGTGGTCCCACTAGATAAGACGCTCCACGCCGTATCTGCCGTTGCGAGATAAGGCGTGGGGGTGGAAAGAAACGCCCTGTTTATACTCCATACATCTACCCAACAGATGCCGCGTATGTGTTCGAAACAAACGATACCAACATCCGGCTTTAAAACACCATAATATATCCCATACACCTCATGTCAATGTCAACCGATACTATTGTACGTTATCACGTGCACTCGGCTACTTTCAAAGCGCTTAATAGGCTTCCAAAGCGTTTACAGAAAAGAAAAAACGACTTTTTCCGTCCCATGTACATTGTTGGTTTTTTGGTCTAGTAGTTTAGATGGTTAAGAGACTGACGAAAACTTTCACACTGTGTAAAGTTACAGAATCACACTCGTGCGAAATGCGCCACTTTCCACGCTCGTGCGATAAACGTACTATTACCGGTTAAAAAAAAAGTACCTTGGTCGCTGTTGGGGATGGTCGTCCATGTCTCGTCTGCGTCAAAGTGGACGTCTATGCTGCGACCACCGTTCGGGAAGAAGGCGTGTGCCAAAATCACTCCTTTGCCGTCAAAGGGGAAGTTGTCTCCGTGGTCGCCCCTGGAAAAACGAGTAATGGTAATTGAAATGGCTGGAAAGTTAGTTAATTGAAGTCGGATCAAAAAGGCGATATTTGCATCTGACATACTGTGATAAAAGGAAAGGTTTGGTTTTTTTGGCGAAAATACAAAAGTAAAGAACTGACTCCAATTAAGCTTGTTAAAACTGGAAGAGTCGTTTGAAAAATAATTGTACACGATGTCACAAAGTGAAATAAAAGTGGGTTTGCACGATGATTAAGCAAAAGCAAAATAACGCTACGTGATTAAATTGAAATATGCACTTATGGTGTGGAGAACTAGGAGCACATGTCGGTATGAGTACAGCATAATCAGATTCAGTGTTAAATAATAGAACGATGACATTAATCTATGTTTAGTTTTTTCAAAGCAGTTCGTGTATTACTAATTAGCTTTACTTTACTGCAGACTATTCGTTTATTGGTAATAGAATTCGTATTATACAAGGCGAGGCAGTAAAAGCGTGCTCCTCGATTTCATTACATAACTATTAGAAATAAAAAAAATTGAATGGTAAACACTAGGTAAATTTTATACATACTCCTGTACTTGTGGTTTATGAATCCGAGTGTTTGCCCTAGACACTCAGACTTTCACAAAAAATTAAATCAAAATTGTATTACAAATTTTTATAGTAATATAAGAGGAACATTCAGCAGCAGCTCTAATAATGCAAAGGTAGATTTTTTTTTCTAAAAAACTCGATTTGTTTGATTGTACTTCAGGTGTGAGGGAGTTTTCTCCAATAATATGAAACCAATTTTTTCTCTAGAAGTTAAAGCCAGTCACAGTCACACCATTTTTAAATAACTCAACAGAAAACTGTGAAACGTAGTTTTTAACTCTTAATTGGCTGTAAGGGTAACTTAATTTACCAAATAACATGGTGTACTTGAACATCGCAGATGTTATTCTCTCTTCCTTAGTAGATGATGTTAACGACTTACATGCGTCAACACACAAATATTTATATTCACATGTTTACAACTTGCATTTGTAAGCGCACAATTAGCATGGTAAAGAGATGTACTTTGAGCTTGCCCCAAAAACGCTTTCAACCACCAAAAGCTTACCTACGATCATACGAAGACCACGTTGAACAAATTTCATATTTAATCAGAAAATAAATTTTAAAAATAAGCAGGTTTATTTTCAGACACGATAGACACGTACCTATTGATGTGAAAACGAAACTTTACTAAATTAGAAAATTATCTATCAATTCTGAACAAGGCCCAATCAAAAGTAAAAGTTCTACGAACAATCCCTAAGTTTTCAGCTCTAGTCAACATTTCGTACACGGTCTACTGATAACAGTATTTGTCACTTTTTGTTAACATGGTAAACAATCAAAATGAGACTATCATGGCCACTAGTCACGAATAACTCCATTACAATTTCTTAAACTTTTCTGTTTCCATGTCTATGTCGAAGTCTTCAAATTTATTTATTTACCCCATCCAAAAAATTCTGACGTCACATAAAACAAGTAAATCTCTTTTAAAAGTGACCATTTTGACCTAAAAAATGGTAATTAAAACACCCTGATCCACGAAAGCGGAATAATAGGATTGATTACTGAGCTATGCGAACTGCGAGGTCACAAACTTCATAAAATCGCTGGAAATGACTGCAGCGACTTTAAACACCATTCAAGTAGTCTCCGATAAACGATTCTAAAGCTGTTATTGCTATCCTATCGATGGTGACCTACATGTTCCAAAATTAAAAAATCAGCTGATACCATTCCACTCAAAAAAGTGTGTAATGACGTGATACTGTCACCATGGCAACGTATATCGGCGGTTTAATCAGCGGAAAATGACGCTTCCAATACGGCGCTGTTTATCGCTCTGTGGAAAAAATATTCTTCATACTTATCCTTCGTCTTCCCAAATTAATTAAATTTAATTGGGTCAGGTGTGACCGTTTGACTTTAATGGCTTCCACGAATCGATTGTACCCCTTAACCACCCCCAAACGACTCCATCAAAATTTGATCGTCTATCAATGTCGAACGACATATTTAACTTGGTTTTATACGAATTTCTCGCGATAAACTGAAATGAAACCAGAATGTCTCCGGTTTATTGCCAGGCATAAAACACTTGACAATAAATTCGTTGGAGTCGGGTAACGCACGACTTCCGACTGGCTCATTGTGCAGAGGGCTCCAACCTATGGCAATACGAGGAATTTTCCCCTGTGCCACTTGCTAATTTATTTTTGGAAAATCTTGATATGCCATCAAACCTTTTAGGTTCACGACGCATATACCATAAATACACTACATCAAATAGCTTGTGTTAACATTGCCTGTTCTTGGAAATTTGTCCCGAAAAATTTTACTAAATTTTGTGTCTATAAATTAATATAATCCTGTGAAGGGTGCATGTTGTCTAACCAACAACAAGCGTAGATTCGTTAGTCATGCGTTTTATTACTGCATGTGTTCGGTGATTGTAGTACAGCAGGACGCTTTTCTTTTGACACAAAAGACGTCTGAACAAAAAAGAGTGTCATTAATCACAAATATAACAAGAGTACATTGTACCAGATATAATTAAAATACAAAAGTACCACCATGCAAGGGTCACAACAAAAGCAATAAAACGAATTTACTCATTGCCTTAATTAAAAAAAATCCTGATAACCTCTATAAAGGAAAAACCAGAGACATAAATTATCACTCCGGCAGCTTTTTTGACTTAAATTTTTCTAGTTTTCAAGTTTAAATTTTTCAGTTTTTCAATTTTCCAATTTTTAATTTTTTAGTTTTTCGATTTGCAATTTTTCGTTTCCATTTTTTATTTTCTTTATTTTTCGTTTTGTGATTTTTCAATTTTCATTTTCCTCGTTTCTTCAGTTTTTAAATTTTGCAAATTTTCAATTTAAAACTTCTTTTTTTAATTTTTCAATTTTTCGATTCTTTAAATTTTCATTTTTACAAATTTTCAGTTTGCAATTTCTCGTTTCGGTTTTTTTATTTACAATTTTTCGGTTTTTCAATATTCGGATTATACAGCGCCAGACAAAAAAAACACGGACACTGGAATTTTTTGTAATTACCTGCAACTGGTCGAACTTGTGTAAAAAATATTCCAAAAACCAAAACATTCATGTATTTATTAACAGAAAACATAACTTTATTCTAAAACGTGTGGAAACAGAAAAAGAAACAAAAATTTGAACACTAAACATTAACGTAAAGTTTCAAATATTCAAATATCCGTTCTTTTTTGTCTGTCAGTATATAATTTTTTGTTTATTTCATTTTAAATTTTTTTCGATATTTCGAGGTGCATTTTTTCGTTTCGTGTTTTTTTATTTTGTTTATTTTTCAGTTTTTTAATTTTTCATTGTTCTGATTTTAAAATTTGTCTTTTTTCAATGTAATATTTTTCAGTTTTTCTAGTTTTCATTCTAACTATGTAATAATTATTATAATTTAAAATGTTTTTCACTTTTTCAATTATACGATTTTCAGAATTTTTACATTTTTCAATTATTGGAATGTAAAACTTTTTCTTTATTCAATTTTTGACCTTACAATTTTGAGGATTCAATAATTTTTCAATTTCAGAATTTTTGGTTTTTCGGTTCGAGTCGTTGTTTCTTCTGACCAGATTTTCGATTCATTAATTTTTTTCGATTTTTAAATTTTTAGATTTTTAAGTCTTTTAATGTTTCAACAACTAGTTTCTTCAGTTCTTCGATTTGCAATTTTTCGATTTTGCATTTTTTCCAATTACAATTTTTCCTTGTTTTTTTTCGGTTTTTGGATTTTTTAATTTTTTCCAATTTTTTAGTTTTCCGATTTTAAATTTTTATATCTTTCAATGTTCCATTTTTCAACTTTTAGAATAAAAAAAAATTGACAAATTTGCAAAATTGAAAAATCAAAAATAAAAAAACGAAAACGTATAAAATGAAAACTTTAAAAAATCTAAAAATTGGAAATCAAGAATTGAATTGAAAAAAATAAAAAAATCAAAAACCGAAATATTGAAAATTAAAGATATCGGAAAACGGGATGGACTTTTTCAATTTTACGATTTTAGAACTTTTCCATTTTTCAATTATTGGAATATAAAACTTTTTCATTATTCAATTTTTCGATCTATTTACAATTTTCACGATTCTTAATTTTTCAATTTCAAAATTTTTCGATTCGAATTGTTTTTTCTTTTTTCCAGTTTTTCGATTAATTAATTTTTTTCGATTTTTAAGTTTCTCTCGATTTTTAGTCCTTTGATGTTTCAACATTTAGTTTCTTCAGTTCTTCGATTCGCATTTTTCGGTTTTGAATTTTTTCGAATTACAATTTTTCGTTTTTTAATTCTTTCCGATTTTTTAGTTCTCCGATTTTTAATTTTTATGTCCTTTTTGTATTCAATTTTTTTATTTTTCAACTTTTCGGATCAAAAAAGGGGAAAAATTGCAAAATTGAAAATCAAAAATGAAAAAACGAAAAAGTATAAAATGAAAACTTAAAAAAATCTAAAAATTGGAAATCAAGAATTGAATTGAAAAAACAAAAGATTTAAAAACCGAAATATGGAAAATATGGAAAATTTAAAAAAATCGGAAAACAGGTTGGACTTTTTCAATTTTATGATTTTAGAACTTTTCCATTTTTCAATTATTGGAATGTAAAACTTTTTCTTTATTCGATTTCTCAATTTTTCGATTTTTTCGATCGATTTACAATTTTGACGATTCTTAATTTTTCATTTCAAAATATTTCGATTCTATTCGTTTTTTCTTTTTTCCAGGTTTTTTATGCATTAATTTTTTTCGATTTTCAAATTTCTAGATTTTTAGTTTTTTAAAGTTTCAACATTTAATTTCTTCAGTTCTTCGATTTGCAATTTTTCAATTTTGCATTTTTTTGAATTAAATACAATTTTTCGTTTTTTTTTTTAGGTTTTTCGATTTTTTAATTGTTTCCAATTTTTTTAGGGTTTTCAATTTTTTAAT